GATTTTGGTGCGGCAAATGTTAAAGCTGTTTTTGATAGACTTTTTTGTACTGATTACGAATCCGAAGGGTAAAGTTTCCATCAGGTCCAGTGTCAAAAAATCGCATTTTTTGCAATATCTGAGAAGCTCTAGCAAAGAAAGAAAACGTGATAAAACCTTTCACTTAGGCTTAAGTTACAGCTTGAACTCGCGACTACTGTCCCTGAAACCTTAACCTGACGGTCACTTATAGTCATTTATTGAACACCAAGAAATATTGGGGGGAAAAATGTTGTTAAAGTTTTGCTGTTTAATAAATGACTATTACTACGTTTATGCATAGGAAAATTCTCGAAATCATTTCATGAATTTGGGCTAAAATTGGCTGCATAAACACAATATCATGAATTCAACTATACACGAAAATCAACCATGAATTTGGGCACCATTTCATGAAATCGTGAAGTGGAAGTCCGGCAAGGGGTAGTGGCATAACCATGACTTAAAACACTGGAAAAGTGGGCCGTGCCACGCTCATTTTCCAAAATTTTTTCGTAAACATATGTCTTGGTAAAGAGTTGTTGCAAGCATCAATTTTGATTAAATTAGCTTTAATATTTACTGATTTATCGAAGATTTTGTATTTCTCTAAATTACCGTTATATGGGATATGGGAGTGGTTATTGCCCGATTTTAAAAATTTTCGGGCATTTGATATGGTGTACCAAGGCCAACAACTGTGCCAAGTTTGGAAGAAATTGGTGCAGCGGTTACCAAGATATACACATGTAACCATAAGTGGGCGTGGCTACGCGCATTTTCCAAAAATTTATAATATTCTTAATTTTCGTCTAAAATTTATTGTAAATATCAATTTTGAGTGAATAATCTTCAGAAGTTACTAAAATATCGCAGTTTTCGTATATCTGAAAATTACCGTTATATGGGAAGTGGGCGTGGTTACAGTCCGATTTCTCCCATTTTCAATACCAACCTACCTTGGATAAATGGAAACCTACATACCAAATTTCGTTCAGATATCTCAATTTTTGCTCGAGTTATCGTGTACACGGACGGACGGACGGACGGACAGACATGGCTTAATCGACTTCTCTATTGGTTCTGAGCATTTATGTATACATTTGTCTATATCTATCTCGATTCGTTTTGGCTGTTACAAACAACCGTTATGTGAACAAAGTTAATATACCCTTGTGCACAAGTGCGCTCGGGTATAAAAATTGTACCAAGCGTTACTCTGCGACTGACAAGTGTTGGAAGATTAATAAGTTTTAATCGGCTCTTATAAGGCGGAAGGTTATATTGAAAATCCCAACGGAAATTTCTTAAAGGAAAAAGTAGGAATTGTTTTTGAATTGATTCTATCTTGTCTGAGTAAATTTGATACCTTGGATTCCAAACCACCGAACCGTATTCCAGAATCGGTCTAACTAATGTTGTAAACAGGGTTTTAGTGATATAAGGGTCACTGAATTCTTTGGCCAACGTTTCACAAATGCAAGTACACCTTTAGCCTTGTTGACTGTCACATTAATGTGAAGATTAAAATTAAGTTTCGGATCCATTGTGATACCAAAGTCCACAAAATTGTATACCTGTTCCAAATTATGGTTATCTATTGTATAAGAAAGCACATTACTTTACATTTTTCCAGATTTAGAGGCATACGATTTACATAGCACCAAAAAAGCAAATGCTTTTCTTTGATTGATACGTACGATTTATAAAGATTCACATCATCTGCGTACATTAAAATTTTTGAAAATTTTATGTCTGTAGATATATCGTTTATAAAAAGCAAGAACAGAATCGGGCCTAGGTGGCTACCTTGCGGGACTCCTGAAGTAACATCAATGACGTCATAAATAGCATTTTTAAACATAACCCTTTGTGATCTATCATAGAGGTATGAAGAGATCCAACGTAGAAAATTAGGTGGAAGACCAAGAATATCAAGTTTATAGATGAGCAGCGAGTGACATACTTTGTCAAATGCTTGACTGAAGTCGGTATATATAACATCCACATTTTTGTTTTATATCTAAATGCTTTTTAGATATATAGGATGTTAATTCAAGTAAATTTGTTGAAGTTGATTTGCCTTTGCAAAACCCATGTGTACAGTATGAAATGGTAGAGGAGAGAGAATGCGTCAACTGATTTGTAATAATTGCTTCAAATAATTTATGAATTGCAGAGAACTTAGCTATGCCCCGAAAGTTCTCCACCGAGGACCTGCTACCGCTTTTATGTAGCGGGGTTATGAACGATTCTTTCCATACAGTTGGAAAGATGCCTTCTTTAAGAGACAAATTAAATAAGGCTGTTAACGGCTCATAGAGATAATCAGCACAATTTATAAGAAAACAAGTGGGGATCTGGTCAGGACCATAACTAAAAGACTGCTTTAAGGACTTAAGGTAAACTAATACATTATCGCGATATATTATTGGGGTATGTATTGAGTTAATTGGACTTAGTTTAAAAGGATAGTCAAAGTATGCTTGGGAGTTAATGGAGTAATTGGAAAATACGTTATTAACTATATAAGGTGATGTGTTTATTAGAAACACCTTTATCCCCTCTAGCTCCGCCCCTATTAATTTCCAGCAAAAATTGTTTACACCTTTCAATTCAGTAAAAAGGGGCGGACCACGCCCACTTTTTTCTTTCCTCAACGGCCGCTATACTGCACTTGTTCCAAAAATACTATTCCAAATTTCGAAGAGTACGAGAGCACCCCATTCCAAAGTGGTAGCATGCATGGGTAGCAAGCAGCGAAATTATGTATCAAATAGTGCTTTTAAGGAATAGTGAACGGCTTTTTGATGTATTTTCAATCCTTATATACTTAAAATGAAATTTGTTAAACCAAAATTCAATTTCCAAGTGTTTGCATTTAAGTAACAAAAACAACAACGCGAATCAGATGTTTCTCAAATTCTGGGCACGAAATGTGTTTTTTTGCGTTCTCGTATTTCTGGACTTTGTTCAATTTTTGAGAGCAAACTTTTTGCTTATTCTCTAATTACCGGATCCGGTCCGGATTGTTAGGGAAAGAACCTAAATACAAACAAGTAATTTTGAGCAAGAAAAAAAAACCGACTTCAACTCCCATATAAAAAAAAATATATATATATATATCTCATGATCCACTGATCGGATCTCAACCAGATTAGTATGGGACCACCTCTGAGACACCACCTTTCCGAGAATTATCGAAATCGGTTGACGTGGTCCAAAGTTATGCGGTAACATACATAAAAAAAAAAAAAAAAAAATATTCCGACGAACTGATAACCTCCTCCTTTTTTGGACGTCGGTTAAAGAGAGACAGCAAAAAAAATGAAGTGAGCGAGATAAGAGGAATGAGAGAAATATGTAGCAATTCCAACAACAAAACAACTAGCACAGGGTCGCATTTATCTTGCTGTGCTATTTTGCAAAATATATACATGGGTTTCAACGTTGCATATTTTGCAGCGATAGGAAATGTTGTTTCCCATGTATCTTTTTGTTGTGTGTTTGCAAGTATGTAATGCAATCCATGCAATCCGTGCTACGTGCAATGGCTTTGCAAGATTTGGAGAATACCCCTAATGTAAATAATAATGCTGAATATGTCGCATGCGTTCCTTATGTTGACATGCGTAGATTTGATGCATGATTTGATTTTAACTTATTCGACAGGGTCTTCATATATCACACTCAAACATGTATAAGCGACATGATATAAACTGGCACTTGCATGATGTGGCACATGTCGCTATGTTTTATAGTGCAACATTTGCAGTCCTTTAATACATATCTGTGCCATTCAATTAAAGTAGCCTTAGTTCGGATATGCACTTTTCCCTTTAAACCAACATTTCATTGTGGTTCCAAACAATAATTTAACGTTTAACCAGTCATAGGTATAGTTCAAGATACCGTTTTAATGGAAGTTTAATAAAAATATAAAAATTTTCAAGTGTATGTGATTATTTTTTAATTCAAAGTCAAACCTTCTAAAGTCACTTAAGGTACTTTAATTGAATGGCATAGATATGTATATATGTACTGTTACTGCGGAGATTTTTAGCAATGGGTGTATATTATTATTCCTAATCACATGTAGCCATGTAAATTTAATTTTTAAAATTAGGTCATATGCCTAATGAATTTAATAGCTTTGCATTTTTTTAAACAGGATATATTCACTTAATTTATTTCAATTTACAGGGGAGGTTCATTTGCATCAATGAATTGCTATTTTTTGGATAAACCTATTGATTGGTATGCGTTTGAATGTTGCTACGAACTGGACGACATTTTTCCAATTTTTGATGACACACGTAAAATTAACATCGAGGATCAGTTTCAACGTGCTATATCTTCAATGAAGCAAAGCTTGTCCAAATGTGAAATTTTTATAGAAAACGCGTTTGTTGATGACTCTTTATCATTGGAAGAATTTGTGACTATCAATCGTAAAAACGTAGCTAATGAAAACTATAAGGCAACTTTATTTCTGCCTGTCAAGTGTCATCAAGGTAGCGAAAACTTTATTAAAGTAAGAAAATTCAAAGGTACCATTCGCCTTACTGGCGTTATTTCTTCGCGTATATGGTGCACTAAAACCAATGTTTTGGGCGATGTTAAGCGATTTTTGCGGAACGACATATTACGTTCATTGGCGGCACGTATCCAAGTTTACTGCGATGGTTTGACCGATCCTCATGTTAGCAACGATGTTATTTTTATAAGTGAACCCCCACGGCGCATATTTTTTAACATATTCGTCGATGGAACAATTAATGCAATACAATTTTCAGAATACATATTTCGAGGAGAAGCTCCAACTGTAGCTGTTGCGCAGGCTAAACAAGTTCTTGATTTAGACGTCAGTTCAGAGAATATAGTGACAGACATGGAGGGCTTACCTGACGATGAAATATTTAGTGACAGGTCATTGTCAAACTTACAGAAGACTTCTACCCAACAAATTGGCAATTCAACAAAATACTTAACAAGATCAATTTATATTTTGAGTATTTCATTAACGCTTTTGATTCTTTTGTTGTCTGTTTGGATGCATTACTTCTTTCATTGACTACATTTGGATATGCACATATTTTATTCTTTACACATAATTTTAAATAAATAGCATACAGAAATCTATTAATCCCCAGAGCTTTATTTGGTTTACTTGGATAAAATACAGCAGATCTATACAAAGTTTTGCTAAAATATTGCAAGAAATCACACATTATTTTAACTTTTTCTTTAATTATACTATAAAATAACCTATGTCGAGCCTTTTCCTTAAACTGTACACCATTGCGACAAACAGGACTAAAATGGAGAGTCCGATTGAAATCTCCATATGAACTGTAAGTATTTCTTGTTTTTAGGAGAAATTAACCCATTTTCAGTGGTACTCCTCCAATGATTTTCTTTCGTTATATGAGGTAAAATTAGTGCAAAAAAATTTAGAAAAAAGTTCGTTTTTACTGCGGTCGCCCCTCGGCAGGCAATGGCAAACCTCCGAGTGTATTTCTGCTATGAAAAACAGGTTCTCATAAAAATACCATCGCCGTTCGGAATCGGCGTAAAACTGTAGGTCCATCCACTTTGTGTGAAAACATCAAGGCGCACGCCACAAATCAGGGAGAAGCTCGGTCAAACACTAACATATGTGTAAGCCCCAATCTATTATTATTATTATTATTATATAAGGTAAATTGGGTCTCTTTTTTTAATAAAAGGACAAAGAAATATAGCTGTTAAACAGTGTTTTAATTATTATAGCAGAAAACTATTACGCTGCATATTTCAAACATTTCGGGAAATCTACGAACGTAGCATACACTCTGAATACACCCGCTCGCACAGTGAGGGAAATTATGAAAAAGCTGGTCAATATTCCAAAAATCAAAGTTGTACGACTTTTGCAAAACGTGGTAATTTGTCAAGAGGAAGGTCCATTGCGTAGTGTAGGGATGCACAGCAGAGGTGCACGCAGTCGACGTCGCGGGCAAACTGCGCGCACGCGAGTGTGCTTGGCGAGGTGAAGTGAGCTGTACGGAGATGGCATCGTATACATATTAACCACTACACACTTATTTTCAAGTAAAAATGCGTGTATGTATGTGTGCTTTTGCGACAACTGAGCCAGTGTGGCATCAGGCCACCCGAAAAAGCCAATTTTCCAAAACAAAAGCGCCAGGTTTTTATTATCATGTTTAAAAATTTGTTTGATTGAGTAAAAAGTGTATATAGTACATATCCATTTCCTCACGTTTTTATTAATAAACTAATTTCAATACATTTATAGCAACGCAGAACATATTTAATTTACCTATTCCTCACATTTTATTCGGTAAAGGATTTCCATCTTAATGTAGAATATTAGTGTATAGTGTATACATACATACATATGGACCTATGGATTCGGTGTGCTTAAATTAAAAAAGCATGACTAAATAACGCACCAAGCATTGAATTCCATTTATTTTGGCTTTTTGGTTTCCCAAAAGCACTAAATTTAGTGCAAAATGCACGACCTTGGCAACAGTGAGCTGAGCACATCAATGCTCAAGCAGTGATGCCAGGCAAGTATTGAGTAAATGCGCTATGTAAATTTTTCTTTTAAAGCAAAAGTTCTAATTGGCGAGGGTATTGATTTTTGGTTCTTACATAGAACACTGATGAGATTCACAAACTTATCTTTGGACTTAATTAAAATAATCAACATTATTTGTAGACGAATATATTTGTGTTCGTATGAAATAGTAGCTTATGTCGGGAGGCTGGCTTTAGTAAAATGTACCATTTCCTATATTCTTTAAACCACAAGGAATTTTTTTATGAAACTTTATACGAATATTGACTTGCTAGCATCGCCATTAACATTACCGTTTTACGTTTTTTTTCCAAGAGTTCTTTAACGACTCGGCGCCAGTGAGTCTTTCGCAATCGTATGCTGCGAATGGTTCATTATACTAAAGCCAGTCTTCCGACATAAAGCCCTGTATGAAGCTCTCAAGAAAACGGTCAAGAAAAAATTGCCATTATTTCGCGTGTGTGTCCAAGGAATTTTGACATTTTTGATACTTCACAGCCTGTTGCCTCACTCTTTCCTCAAGAAATAATGGAACGGGCATATATTTCTGTTGCAAACCTGGGTTGCCTTGTGCTCTTTTTTCACAAAAAACTTTAGAAAACAGTAGTAGAAAGCGTAGTAAATGTCTTAAGAACTGCGTACTGCCTTAAGGAAATTTTACTCAAGAAAATTTCTTAGCCATTTCTTGTACGTCATTTTATATGGAGTTTTTGCTTTTCTTGAGAGCTGCATACAGGCCTTAAGTTACTATTCTATACGAAAACAGATATGTATACTTCCTAATAGGCTTGTAAAATGCCCAATACCCAAATCCCTCGCATGAGTTATTATCGGTAAAAAATTGGGTACGCTCAAATCTGGCATCGCTGCAGCAAGTACAGCGCCAGTGAAACAGTGTTGATATTTTAAGTACAATTGTACTTTTTTCAGTACAATTAATTTTAAAATGTACAAAAGTACAATTTGCCCATTTTAAGTACAATTTCAACATCAAAAATACTTTTTGTACCAAACGCTCAAATCTCGTCTAGCACTTTGATTCTTAATCCGTTTACATTTAAGTAAATATATATACCTATATTTCATATTTGCTACAAAACTAAATTATGAATTGTAATTTTGAATGTAAACGTGATTGCGAACAGTAATATTAGAGATGTGCGTTATGGTAATTGCGATTTCTTATCACCGGCGGGTAAAATATCCCTCATCGCTATTTATTTTGAAAAAATCTTTGGAAATGCAATTTACCTAATGGCGATCCTGCAGAAATAGAAGTAATTGAGCAATTCGGGGGTTGCAAGTAAAAAAATGTATGTAAATTCCATGCGTTGAAATTATAAATTTCCCTTGAGGATTTCCATTTTATCGATAGTGATCTCATTTTATGTTCATTAATATGAACTGACCTATATAGTGTATTAATGTTTTATCATCATTGTCTTCATCTTTGACAAAATTACACGGTCACCCGGTATTTATTTTATTTTTTTTAATAATTTTAATTATTTTTTTATAAAATTATAGCTCATTGTCAAACAAAAACCTTGCAAATAAATCCAAACTTGAAAGATTGAAAAAAATCAACAAAGTTTCATCAAATTTTCACAGTTGTTGTTCAGAATTAATAGACATGTTTTGGGTTAACATTTTTGTAGCCCATTCATTCTAGTATAATAAGGTGCAAGTTTGAAGTGTCAAAAAAATACCATTGATTTTTTGAATTTTTCTGTTTGCGGTGTTGCGCACTAGGAAATCTAATTAAAAAGCTCGAAATTTTTACGCAAGTTTGTTAATTTTTTTAATGCTGCAAAAAGATTGAACCTTGGTACGGCTTTTTTAAGTATAAACTGCATTTTTATAAAAAAAATACACAATATTAAGATTTAATGGTCAAATCTTGTCAATATGTGAGTGTCGTAAAGTTTTGATAAGCACTTGAAATGCTATTAAAATGTCAAAACTTATTACCGAATCCAAAAAGATGTCTCTTTTATCCATTAATAACAACTTTGTTGTCGAGGTTTTGCTAGAGCTTTTACAAAAATGCTTGTTGACGGCAATAAAATCAATAAAAGCGCGATCACATCCTCACCGCATGAGTGTTCGATACCAACTGACGGTATGCAGTTTGGAAGTGAGATTCTTCTGCTTGCGTTTCTATGTTTATATCATTTGTCACTTTAAGCACATACGATTAAATGTAAAAAAAAAAATATTTTTAATTGCGGATCCGAAAGAAATATTTATTAGTTGCATTGAGTTACGCAAAAGTAGTGGCGAAAATCAATCGATTGTGCTGAAGGTGCCGGCTCCTTCCGAAAATGGCACAATGCACACTCATTTTCCATCACTGTCACACATACAATCTCACTATTCTGTTGACTTCGTTTTCCCCTTCCGATAACTTTTTGCTTCCGCGCTTGCCCAGCACCGCTGTGCAAAGCTTTGCACGCGCAGTCGCCCGCGACACATATGTGCTGATTTGGGCTTCCCTAGCGTAGTGGATGAAAAGTATAAGGCACCGTTTTTTTGTATCTTCTCACTAGATCAGTTTGTGCTGCTTTTTTCATTGGCTCTAAAATTGTGCTTCGGAAATTTGTTTTTAAAATAGTGGTTAAAGCACTTAATTATTTTTTGCGAGATAGAGAGCGTTTCTGACGTTATCTAAGTAATCTAAGTCATCAAATTTAAATTTTTGACACAAGTAAATAGTATATCTAAAAATTAATTGTAAAAGCTGTCTCAAAAAAAAAATATAAGAATATTTTTTGATTGTTGAAAAAGTTGTGATCGCGGGAGATCGGGCTATATTGAAGATGATAGCAAAAACAACGTACTTCAAGAATCTAAAAAAAGGAACCAGATTCGTCCAAGTTATGTTGTAATTCACGATTTAATAGCGCGATAAAATAAAAACAGTGCTCATTGTGTTGTGTGGAAAGCTTACACAGGACAACAGATGATTTTGGTGCGGCAAATGTTAAAGCTGTTTTTGATAGACTTTTTTG